CTGCGTAAAAGTGCCACACAGATGACTGGTTACACCTGGAGATGATTTTCTTAGTTGTCAGGTAGTAAAACAATCTTCAGAAAGGACAATAGATTAACAGGGGTCCCAAGTATCTGGCTATCTTCAGTGCAATTCTGAATAGTGACAAAGCTTTTCTCATCATTTTAAGGATATGCTAGTTGTTTGAGACCGTGCTTACAGGATGGTGCTGCATCGCACCTCAGTTAAATGGTTCCTTGCACACTTGTATTGCTGTGTAAGCCAAAAAAAAGCGTGCCAGAAATTGTGGTGAAGCAAAGCATGTATATTTTCCTAGAAGCCCCATTACAGGCTGGGTCTTTCACTGCGGTGCCCTCCAAGCCTTAACATGGAGCACACCTACCCAGTGGCACGTCGCCTCTCTTCCCTCCTCCTTCCTCTCCCCATGGTTACAGGGGGTGGTTACTGTTTATCACTGGCTGGCATAAAAACACAAATTGCAAGACTTCTGCAGAAATGCAAAACTGGCCGTAGTGCAACATTGCCTCTGCAGCTGTTAAAGCTTTTTGTTTGCTGGGTATTAATAGGGGATGAGTTCTGTTCTGCCCGCATTCGTGCTGTAATTTGGAAGCAATTCCCTCTCTGGCTCACACCAATTACGTATCTGTCTGGCAACATTATGTTGCAAGTTCGTGATATGCAAAGTGGAAAAGCATTGGCTTCTCTAGGAAAGGTATTACTCCTTTTCAAGGTGAAAAAGTAGATCACTAAAAAGAACACAAACTTTGAACGTCTGTGATATCTGAAAATGCTGTACGGGTATATGTTAAGAAACTCTTTGTTTTGACAAGTGATAAGGGCTCTCTAGGTAGTCTTAAACCAGGCTACCAGCAAATTCAAAAGCACCGTGTATTTTCCCCAAATACCCCCAAAACATAGAAGCATGTTCCAAAAAGAGAAAACTATTTTGCACGGTCATTGATCTACCACACAAAAAGCATTTTCTTAACCTAGTGAGATTTTAAATATACCTGAAAAAGTAACCCTTAATGACTCAGACTGGATAGTCCACTGAGAATACTGAGAAAGTATAGCTTAAACAGAGAAGCACCTAAATTGCAGAATTTCAGTTTTATAAAACTATAAGAAGTGCAGTTAACACAAAAAATGGTTTCAGTTTCTTGCCATGCTTTCCTCTGTGTTCTCTACTCGTGATGCACTTCTATGAATCTCCCACAATATTGGTAGTTTCTTCTGCCCATAGCAGCAGCACATGCACAATTTCTGCCCAGTGTGGTCCTCCAGGTTGATGGGTTTTGCCAGTAATTATCATTACAACTGTGTCTGATAGAAGATTCCTGTTATATTTCTGATGTCTGTGATTAGATGTCAGTATCCTAAGTACCTAAATAGTGGGTTTATGTATAATGACTACAGGCTACAGAGTTGGTGTGTCATATTTAATTTGCTTGTTAATTTTCGAAAATGCAGGAAAGAAAGGATAACTAATTGGGGAACATTAAGGCTTTTGAATAAAATACTCCCAAACACATTATATATGCCTCCAGATTCAAAACACAGAGAAAGAGTAATAGCTCCCTATTTATTTGACCTCATTCCTAACACTTCTTTTTTCATAGTAATGGGAATTTCACTGTTGCAAATCAGCCAACCTTTAATAACTTTGATTTTTCAAGTTCCCTCATATAGCTCCTTAATAAAAAAAAAAGTTCAAACATGTCTTTTTAAGCTCTTTATGTCAAATGGCTGGCTGGTCACAGCATAAGGGTAATTTCCTTAAATGTGGTACAAAAACACCCCCTGGGGAGTCCTAAAGTCTAACTGTTGACAAAAGAAAAACTTTGACTTCTGAGTTTGGACAGGATGATCCCCATGGTTCCCTGATAAAAAGCTTATTTACCGCACACAACAGAACCCTCCAAAATGTTAAATCTTTATAGATTTCAAGAACAGGAACCTGTCTGCCTGGGGTGCCTCAAGTTCTTGGGAACTTCAAATTCTCTATGTAAGGCTGATTCTTTATTTGGCCATACTGTCATTTCCACTTTATTGCGGCTCCTGCCAGCTATGACGGGCCAAACACTGCAGTGTATACCATAACGTTTTCTGAAGCACTGTGCGGTTGGTAAGTTGCCAATATTGACTCATGTGGTGAACAGATACCAAGGTACAGAGAGTTACAGGAAAAGCAAAAGCAGAAATTAAGGGCTGCCTTCACAAGTGACCTACTCTGTTCTATAGAGAATTAATGCTATAATCAACAAGACTCCAATCAATAGCAAGTTAAGGGAAGTATAACATAATGCATAAAAAACCAATACAGATATTTTGAAAAAAAATTACCACATCTTACACTAAATAAAGAGACTAACTATCTCAGGAAGCACCTGAGCTACAGATTAACAGAAGCTAAGAATACCCTTGCTAGAAGACTCACTAACACTTGCTTACCTTTATACCCTCCACAAGTCTACGCTATTGGCCACTGTTGGAGACAGGACACTGATCAGGTTAACTTTGGGCCAACATGGCAATTCTTATGGCATGTTACCACTGAACGTACCCTTGCCCTCTCCACCAGGTTCTCTCAGTTCTGTCGTGAATTGCAAGAAAAAGAAAATAGATTCCTTAAGGAAATTTTGATGACCAGTATCTTTCTGGTTGCTGCAAAGGCCACCATACTGTGTGCTATGCATTGTAAAAGGAAGATATGATCCCTGTCCAAAAAATAAAAGTCTGAAGGAAGGTGGTTTAAACCTTCCTCTTTGGACAGAAAATACATGAGGTTTTCATACACTGCAGTTTTCAACATAACATTCAATCAACTGCAAAGCTCTGTACTTTCATGTATGAGTCTCAGCAATGATCACAAACCCTCAAATATGCCTTTAGATATCTAAAATTCACATACATCAACATTTTTCACTGCTTAAACTTCCCACTTCAGTAGTCAAGTGGCTCTAAGAGTATCCACACCTGCTATTATTTACTACTGCCTACTTCATTTTCTCCTATTTTAATTCTGGACAGGGCAATGATTTGTCCTTGGTGAGTGCACTGGTACATAATCTCAGGGTTGAGATTCACAACCTCATGATGGCAGCATAACAAATTACCAAGAGGCAGCAACTCATCATGCGTGGGCTGCCCAACTACGGTGTAGTACGACTTCATTTTAAGGATCAGTGAAGGATGGTTATGCTAAGTTGCATTTTCTTACAGTAGGGCAAGTGAAGAATGTACATGCAATCAATTAACAACAGCTGCTATGTCTTGGTTAATGGGGGCAACTTATTAAGCTGACATAATTCATTGTGCAGTTGAGCCCTTAATGAAATGTGGCCCACCTGAAGAGCTTTCTCCGAAGCATTTCTCACATAGCCTCTTTCTTTTGTGCTGTGGATTAGGCAGGAAAGTTACTGGCAACCCAGCCCACCTTCCACCCTTCCCCAATAAACCGAGGTACTAAGGCCTCTTCAAGCCCCAGTTCTGGGACTTTATATCTCCTTCCCACACTTCTTTAACAGCTAAAAGAAAGCATGATCAGTCTCACAGATTAGTAACCACAGCTCAAAGAAGCAGCTGCAAATTAGAGTCTGCTTTAAAGGTTAGATCCTGTAATGTATTTCTGCCCCAAAATCAGGATAACTAAAACCAATGTTCTTATATATTTCCCATAAATGCATTTTTCAAAACACAGGATATAAGCATTCTGTATGTCTTGTAGACATTTCAGCAGCTCCCTTAATTCTTTAGAACAACATTCTCAATTTAACTTAACACCAGGAATTACAGATCATCAGCAATGCTTCCTACTGCAAAGAGATAACCTGTTTCTAGGACTGAGTATCTGTAAAATGCATGTAGCATCCTTGGTGATACCAGCTACTTAAGATCAAAGTCATAGATTAATCTAATCGAGTATAACTCGTATCCTTTCCAAATCCTTTAGAATTTAGGTTGTATCAAAGATTCCCTTGACTGCTTTTAAATTCAGTCTTAAACAGATATATCTGGCTATCATGCAATTTATATATGCTTTTACAAAACTTCTGAATTTTGCCCAGCAGGCTAAGGTAGATTGTTGGAAACATTCAGTACAATTGAAAAACTGAAATTGTCACATGCTAGGCTTCTTCACACTTAACTCCTCCTTAAGGATACAGGTAGCTCTTTCACCACAGATGCTTTATTCTAGATTTCAGTCCAGTCTTTTGAATATCCTGTTTCTGTCCTCCAAAGATGATCCTGAATTTCGTTCACACTAGCACATGGTAATTCTTTGAAAGGAGGAAGGACTTGCATGGTCAGGCTCACTTTGGTCAGGGATGTGGGACAGCCAAGCCTGGAAATCTTAACTTGCTGTACAAGGTGCATAGTACTCTGCAGAAGCAAGTTCAGTGTTTCTGTATTTTGATTGCTAAGGGGGTGGAAAAGAGTTGCACTGCATTGCATCAGATGCCTTGGGTAATATATGAATGCAATGAGGAATGATTAATTTGAAATCAGCATACCTTGCTGCGACTATATATTCTTCTACCTTTATCAGTCCAGATGATGATCAGAACTTGACCCTTTTTACCTCTGAATCTAGTGGAAGCCGGATGCCATGAAGTTTTCCAATTAAATGTCAGTGTGAATCTTCCTGGAGTGAGATTATAACCCCCGAGTTTCTCTTTTCCTTAATACCATATTAAAGTTAATGCAGCTCATTACTAATGATACAGTCCAAGTAACAGCAAATGGATTAAAACACTTATTCATGACTGTATAAAAAACATAGATGTAAATAAGTCAAAGCCCACAAAATTTATTTGCTTGCAGAAACTGTGGATTTCTACTCTCTAAAATGTTTCAGTTCCTCTCAATACATTGAAAGATTTTGGTAACTTTTTTGGCCTTTCTTAAAGGACACATTTGGCATAAGAACAACTTAAGCAGTTCGATTATCTTTCTGCAGTGATTGAATTATACCATAGCAGGACTGGAAAAATACTTACGCTCCACAAAGTAAGAGCTGGCATCAATCTTCCAGATAATCTGACCACGGTGAGAGCCATTGACGCCACGGTTCTTGTAGTCCAAAAAGTTTTCGGACAAGACCTCATCTATAAACAAAGAAAACGGTCTCATCAAACACCTGTTATGACAACATACGTAGCAGAGAGTCAGGCTAAAAATACGCCTTTGGCTTGACAGAACGTCCTAGAGCTGCTAGACAGCTTGGCACCACATGTTGAGAAATTGGTTCTTTCACTCATTTATATTTTTGAAAAGTGCAGCCCTTCTTAAAAATCACAGCTTTTCCTGAAATGTAATTTTAAAAAATACATCCCTATAAAATTCTCAAAAATCAAAACATCTAGTTTAGCATAGATGAACCCTTACTTAATCGAAGGTAATTACCTAGCTGTAAGAGAGAATGGCAGCAAAAAATAATCCCCCCCTTTGCACCGGCCCTTCCCTTAACAAAAGCAACCACAGAAAACAGTTAAATGTTGGCATCTGTGCTACACTCGTATCAAAACTGATGTGGTTATTTCTTGCAGAGTACAGCTAAGGATATTTATTTTTGAAGAATCCCTCTAACTGCATGCCTGCATAGCTCTTGGCCTCCAACACCAAATGACTGACAACAAAACACTGTCCCCTCACAGTGTTTCGAGACACCTAGCAGCTGTCAGACTACCACACTGATCTTCAGAGAAGTCAAGGAGTAATCTATAAAAATGAATAACCTCCAAAAAGTTGCTGAAAACCAAGGCTGAGGAAGCAATGGCCTTGCTTGCACAGGGCTGAATATAAATAAAACGTGGACAGGTCACAGGCCTGAGCAGCGGCCTTCTGGTTGTCCACATAAATACATTTTTATTCTGCTTCCAAGTTGCATTTTAGACTGCTTCAACGAGTTCTTTTCCCACCCAATCTGCAAGCCCTACATGGTGTAGATGTAAGAAAACACATCTGGCCTCCAGGCCTGGTTCTTCACCCTCTTTTATCCAACAGTTTAAAAACCAACCAGCGAGGCCGTGCTGCAGCCTCAGGGCCACGCTCATCAACTTACCAGCTTACACGCAGCTTCCAAGTAAACAAAAATGAACATATTGCCACCATACCGGGCCAGCACTTATGGTTTTGATCACCACTAAATTTGATTAAAATACATCGATTGTAAACACTGTGAAGCACTCGCTTCGTTATCACACAGGTCAGTGGGAAAACAAAGATGATGCCAGGCAACGAGGGACACCGTGCTTGAGGACAGACTGATGGTGTGACTAACTGCTGAGCACAAGAGGCAGATCAACAGACAAAGCCAAGAAACTCAAAGACTAACAGATTATTAATATATACATATATATATGAATGTTAAACAAAGTAGACTTCTAAATTGAAGGAAACTACACTTTCCTACTACACTGAAAGAACAAATCAGCAAGCAGATGTCAACATTGCCCCGTTGGTTTTACACAGTTGTGCTTTCAAAGGAGGAAAGTAAATGGGCTACCGACACTGAACTCTTTGGTGCCACTCTCTTGAGGGATTTACAACAGAAATTCTCTTAACAGGGTCAATAATTATTGCAATGAATAATTATAGATGGCAATGCTATCTACAATACATTTTCCCCTTGCTGACTTGATAATTGTCAGTAATTATTTCACTAGCTGTGTTTCATGCTCTGTATTGAAGTGGAAATCTTTCAGCACACTCACATAGTACATCTCTGCGGTAACCCTTCAAGGGTAAAATCCTCTGGTATGATTTTTGGTCCTCCTCTGTACTTTCTAGCTGGTTGTGTCTTCTTTTAAATGCCTAATTACATATTTTAAAAAGGCAGATACATATTCACCATTGCTCTCGGAGCTTTGGCTTGCTAATGACTACCCTCAGTAAAGGACCATCCTGGATACAGATTACCCAGAATTGCACCCGTCATTCTGTGGGAGTAGGAACATTTATATACACACGAGGAGATTTAAACCTATGAACTGTCTGCCCCTTTTGCTTTGGCAGGAGAAACACTTCATACTCAAAGGTGAGCATATACTGAAACATTGCACTGAGGTGGAGCCTGGGAACCCTGCCCAGCCCCTTGTCCTGATGAAGCACTGAGGGCATCCCTCAGCTCAGGAATGCTGCTCTCTGGCTTCATCACTCCTGACGGTTATTTGTCATATTTAGTCTCTGTAAGCTGCTGGAGATGCTCCAACGCCTCGCTATGTTATTAAGATATATGGGTAATTACTGTTGCTCAAAATACACTGTTTATAAAATACCATGCTTGCTTAAGGAGGCTTAACTGAGCTAGACTGGATGGCCTTGCTTAAGAAATTGCAGACATTTTAGGACAGAGTTTAGTGGTACAAGAGATCCCAGAATCAGATTTAAAATGCTGCGTTCATACGTGGTGTCTGTGGGGGCCTGCTGGCACTTCCACTGCCTCGGCTGTTGTCTGCTTCCCGCAGCTGGCGCAAAGGCAGCGGGAACTCTGCGTCACGCAATCTCTCTGCTTTGACAGAGGTGTCGGCATAGGCCCGTACCCAAACCAAATCACATCCCTACTGGGAGCTGAGCCAGCGGGGATGACTGCAGAAAGCCTTTCCCTCCTTCTCGTTGGAAATGTGCAGGAAGCCTGGAAAACCAGGATGAGACAAAGGACCACTCTCCATCTGCACGTCCAAGGCAGAAGAACCCCAAAGGGAAGGGGTAAGCAAGATGGTCTGTGGTTACAGCTGAGAGGAGGCCACGGGAAAGCTGAAAAAAGCTGGTCCCCCTCAAGTAGCATCTGCACATGGAGGCGAGAGGAAGGGGTGTGCAGGAAGGACGGCGTCCAGAGCAAAAGGTCAGGTGGCGAAGCCCATCGGGGAAGGGACACAGGTGGAGCTAGTCCTGAAGACACAGCTCAGGGACAGCGGCCACTGATGAAATACAGGCTCAGGCAGTAGAAAGGGTATTTTATTATGCATTTATGGAGCTCTGCAATATGCAGGTCACCCCAAGTAGGAGCAGCGGAGCCTTTAAGTATGAAAACCATTTTTGTAAACAAAACATATTTATAAATGGCATGATTTAGAAATCCAGTATATAGATCCTTCTCACAGCCAGATGTAAACCCTTTCTCTTTTGTAAAGCTTGATACTTCCCTCTTTCCAAAGAAATAAAACTTATTTGTAGTCCAGTAGAAATTTACATTAGTTAGCATTTTTAAGCCAGACAAACTTTAGCTCTAGAGAAACACATGCAGGTCCAAAAGGGAAATCTTTCAGTTTTTGAAGGTATGTATTTTTGGAAGGTGAAAGATAGAGAAATATCCCCTGGCAAGTTAAAAATAGCAGTAGCTGAAACTGGTCAGGAGGTTGGAATGTATGAATACAACCGATCAACCTGGTTTAAATCGGCAGGTGATACTATTCCAGGCATGCTATCCCCTGAACATGGACATTATGTATGTAGCACATTGACAAAGAAAATTGTGCATGGGAAATACACAGCTGTTTAGTGAACTACATATATGTGCATATGTGTGTACATATCTTTATCAGCATTCATGCCATATGTAAGTGAACAGATGATATGGTATGGTATATTAAAGAGTATGTGCAAAGGAAAACAAATTTTATTTCATATTTCTACTGAGAATCTCCATAACAAAGGAACTGACCTTAAAAACACGTTGCATCTTAATTCCCAAAGGTAAATGGTGAAATGCTTCATCTCACCTCCACACAGAATGAAGAGTTAATGTTGCTCCCTCTCATATACTTCAGCCAGCACCTAATGGCTTTTGACATTTTTCCAATGAAGCATTGTAATGCATCTCCCTCCCTCTGTTTTTGAAATGAGATTAGCCTTTAAACTAGCTCTCTTCTTAGCTGGCAATCCAGCGCGTAGCCTGGGTTTGGCCCCACTTGGCTGCCTCGTGCTGGTGAGAGGGACGGTGGCTGCAGGGCTGCAAAGCTGCGCTGGGACAGGAGCAGCAGCCGTCCGACCTCCCGCATCTCACCTGGTCCCCAGAGGGAACGGAGAAGGTTGATGCACGACCAGGCACCAGGCAGCCAGAGGGACCGAGGCACGCTAGAGGCAAACGTTAGCATGTGCTTTGGGAACCAGCAGCAACCCTGATGGACTGCTCGTCCTCACCAAAACAGAGAGCACAGCCTTTTACTGCTAAAAATATTCTGCGCTGTCACTTCCATGCTGAGCCATCCCAACATACTTCACAAACGCTATCTATAGAGAGAGATAAAGAACCATGGCCAAAGAAAGCTATCTTTCAGATGAAAGACAGCAACCAACTGACAAAAAGCGTGCCGTTCTTCAGAGGAATTAGGGAAAATGTTGATAAAGGCCGCCCCTCAGAAAGATCTGTAAAGAATTTAATGGGGACTTCAAGTGCTGTCAGCAGCGCACACGGAGGAGACAGGACCTGGGTATTTGAAGGCTTGCCTGAAATTCCTACAGAGAAGCAAACAGATAGTCAATAGATCTTCCTCAGAAGGACTGATGGAGTTCAAAGTAAAAACAGCTGAGTGACCCTTTTGATTAGTTTGGTTTTACTTAAAAGACAGAAATGCAAAACCTACCCCCCTTTCTCAAACAGTATTTTGCTGATATATATGATCAGCCTATCCTTCTGCATCCTCCAAGAATAACAGCGACAAAATTTAGAATAATGTGGACTACATTCAAAGAAGAAAATAATTAACATGAGACAGGAATACAATGTCAGACAGGTGCCTGAACTTGGTACACTATTCCAGTCTCTCGTCCATCACTAATTTGATTTAGTACTACATATTACAACACTTGCTTTCTATAAACTTAATGTAATTATGGCATAAAAATAGAAGCTACACTTCACGTCTTGATTCCTTATGAATATAAAATGCTGTAGTCCTGAAATTACAGAAGGACTTACAGTCTTTGGCTGAACAAATTTGCTTTAGTTTGAAATTTAAAAGTGCTTTTGGCCTATATGCCTGCACTATAATGATATAGAAAGACAGTTAGCAAAATGCTTTTAAAACTCATCTTCTGTACAAAGAGGCCAGGTTCTGGTTGATCTGTTTTGCAATTTGCATGGAAAGCTGCAGAAAAGGGACAT